TTATTGCAAAAGGAAAATATCCCTGGGCATTTTGGGTTATAATTTGAGTGTAGTGGGGAACATAATGGGGACCATGCTGGGTGTGTTTTTGGACACTTATTTTCGGCATTGTAAAATAAGAGGAAAGGGAAATTGTGGCTTGGTTTTCTTTGGATTCCTGGGAATGGATTGTGAAATGTTGGGATTGGTTATTAAGGTGGTGATGGGTTCAGGGTAAGTATGGTTAGGGTGCATGGTTTGGTGATGATTTCATTCCAGAGGGGGTCATAACACTTGGACATTATTCCATTGATTTCCTTAAGGACTCGAGGGTGATTTGTGGTGCTCTGGGATATATCATGCTTGCTCAAGACTAATTTATCAGACTCAAAGACCATGTAGAAGCTTGTTTATTGAGAAGTGAGCCTGACACCAGGTTCTTGCCAATGTCTGGTATTGGCGGCATGTATAACACATCATATGGTGTGAACTCCTTTTATTATGTCATCTTGAGCTTCACTTTGCTCACACCAAGAACCAAAAACTAGGTTGAATGGCTAAACCTTCTCTCAAGAGGACTCCTTGAACTCGAAGAACATGACATGGTTCGATTAAATGTGATGAGTGGCTCCAATATCAGTTCTTCACTCTTTTAGGTTCGACCCTACCACGTTGACCTCGTTCACTAATCACTATGATGCAAATATTTGTGGCTTCTAGCTCCATGTATAGACTCATTCTTTTTCTTCTTTGGCTTCTTCTTGCACCCCGAAGAATGATGGCCTGTAATGCCATAGTTGCAGAATTTTCTAATTTCTAGTGAATTTCATCTCTGCCACGATGACTTTAGGACCCAGTGGCTTCTTATCATTTTTTGGCTTGAGCCTCTTGAGATTATTCTCTTTGGGAGGATGCTCTACGAAGTTGACCTTGGAAATGATCCCTTTCTTTTCAGTCCATACCCTCTTCTTGAATACAAAGACGAAGAATTAGTTGCCTAAGGTAAGTCTCCATTCGTTTGAGCTTGAGTTTTGGAACTCCTTCCAGATGGTGGAAGTACATGAATTATATACATAACCTGAAAGGCTTCACTGATTCCACAACCCTCATCGTTGCACTCATTGAAAATGAGTTGTAACCCATCCAACTCAGTGAACTCACTAACCACTGATTTAGACTGAGGACTGATTTGGAATCCACCATTTTAAAGTCCAACATTTTACCGACATCGAGTTTCTTTGCACCGAGGTGTTCGGCCTTGTATTTTTTAAAAAATGAATCCCAAAAATCTTTTTCTATTTCTGCCTTAGTGTACACAAAAGACAAGGTGTCACTCAGATCATTCATGACATAGTTGCAACATAGAAAATTTGAAGTGTTATATGCATCCCTAGTCCGAAAGATATGTTTGTCAACATCGTTGCCCCCCACTGGTGGATCCTCACTAAAAAACTTTGCAAGTCCAAAGACCGTCACCCAAAATAGTATCTTTTGCTGTCACATCTTGAAGTTATTGCTCTTGAAGTTCACGCTCGTAACAACAACAACAACAACAACCCAGTTAAATCACGCTCGTAAACTTCGCCTTTTTCTAGGCAGAACACGTGGGCAATGCCACCGAGAAACCTTGGGTGGAACCTACCGTGCAGGGTTCTTTACCGAATGCCAAAACAACAATGTTTGGTCTAAATATTATATTTTGATTACATCATAGATGTTAGTATAATATCTGGGTGGCACCTCCAAATGAATAGTTTCAAATTTTAAAGAGTTGTAACGTCATGTATGTCATCCATCAAGACACTTCACAGTACTCCCCTATAAGCTACGGATGTCTACTTTAGAAAGACTTGTGCACAACGAAGACGAACAACAATTATGTAGATGTGTGCTGGCAGATATAAAACATCTGATTGAATTGATCTATAAAGGAGTTCTATGTTGAGTTGTTTCACACGAAGAAATAGGAAATTAATATTTATTGGAATAGGAGTTTTGGTGCCTCAACAGTAACAAGTGATAGAGTACTACAATTGCCCATTTAGGGTAGAAGAAGTCGAATAAATAAACCGAGCCTATTACAACTTGGGGGTTTAGAAAACTAAAGTGGTGAGGCCCAATAGTATCAAAGAACTTGATCTCACGTGTGATTTGAGAGAACACTGCAATTCATCCTATCTACTGCATGTGAGAGATACATCGTTTCTTCTCGGCAAGGAAAGAGTGTTTATAGAGAAGAGAGATGTGCGTACACAACGTCTCAAGTCCCAAAGTTGCTAGATGTTGAGCAAGTGTTGGTCTGAAATTGAGTTGCGATCACGTCATTTGAGTCCTTGAAAAAAGGTGTAATAGCCATGTGGTAAGTTCTAATAAGCCTCACAAATAGGGATTTTGTTATTACATTAGAGAAGAGACTTCTTGATGTATTGACAAGTTACTTTGAAGGATTAGTAAAGCAGTGTTAGTGTGTTACACAAGCATGGCCCCACTGATTAGGAGAATTATCTCAGAGCTGCTTAAATGTATTGTTTGTGTTTGCGAGAAGATGTCAGAGCACCATGTTTGCCTTCCGTCTTTGTGAGCAGTGTTGTAGCATCATCCAGTCTATCGTTTCTGCGTGAGCCTCAATTTATTTTGTTAATTTTGATTGGGTACTCTCGCTGCACACTCAATATTTTGGTAATAGAGTGGTTAATTTTACAAGCTTGATTAGATTTGTTCTTAACTTGAGATCATGGGAGACATGGAAGAAGGATCAAACATTCAGTGACCAGCCTTTGTGGTCACACCTAGTGTTTTCCGGAATGTCACATAAGAACCTTTCTAAAGTCTTGAGGTGGTGGAGTTTTGAAAGAATTGAAATAGGTTGGATGGAACTAACCAAGAAGGATGCTGAAAATAATGATGTTGCAAAACCCTTGGAGGACTGAATAAACTGCTGCTAAATATAATGATAAAGCAATAGCACCATTTTTGGAGTAGTTGATGGCCCTCAATATCATCTCATCTCTAATTGTGTTGTTGCTAAACACCTAAACAAGCATAGGATATTCTCCAAACCACCAATGAGAGAGATGAGAATGTTAAAACAACCAAGTACCAAATGTTTATGACTCAATTCAAGAATCTAAGAATGGATGACAAAGATGTCACTGAATTATATGGAGAGCAACCCTTCAATGAAGAAAAACCTGTTCTTATGGTACTTAGATCTCCTCCCAAAAAAATTGATATATATGTGAAGGCTATCCAACAATCACATGATGTCAAGACTATGACTCTTGATGCTCTCATGAGAAATCTAGAAATCTTTGAAATAGACAGGAATGAGAATGCGACAAATAAGAAATCTAAAAAATAAATTGCCTTCCCTCTTGAAGATATAGAAGGTATTGAGGATGAGATGCTTGAGTTGGATAAAGATTTTCAGGAATAATTGTCCCTTTTTAATCGACAATTCAAAAGGCAATGGATTCAAAAGGGGAGGAACGAATTGGTAGGAGGGGTCATAAATAATTCGTGCTCTAAAGGAAAATAAGTTCCAGCAACCTGAAAGATAATTCAGAAAGAAAGGAGTTTAGTGTTATGAGTGTGGAGGTCATGATCATATTCAATCTGACTGTGCCAACAACATTAAAAAGAAAAGACAAGCTTTCACAATCACTTGGAGTGATGAGTAAAGATTCAAAGGAAAGTAACTGTGCTTACACAACACAACATGACGTGACTGTTGAAGATGACAGAGAGGATGATCCAGTACACAAACTCACCATTAGGAGAAGTGGACAGAATTGCTGCGGGTCAACAAGTAGACTATAATGGAAAATTAATGTCTTACAGCAGAATGAGTTAAACTCTTATTTGCATTATTAGAAATACACAGGAAACTTGAAGATGCAGAAGGAAATCAAGAAAATCTAAGGTATGAGCTATGTCAACTCAGGGATGTCTTCAGACGGCACAAAAATGCTGGATATGAAGCCATAATTGAACAAATTGGGGCTACCAAAAAATATCGGAGATCGGATGAGCATTGAGTATGCAAATAATGAGGGAACTGAACCAAAGAAGGCTGTGCATGATAAAGTGTTTGTTTGAGGAAAAAAACAAGATATGAGTTGCTCCATCATTTTCAATGACACATTCAAAAGATAAGAAGAAACAAAAATATAGAGAGTAGAACAGATACTTGGACTTTTTAAAAAAATTTGATATATTTTTTTTGCAAAACAAGGGGACATTAAGAGACAATGTCTGAATCAAAGAAAAGACAGAGAAAATCGAGGAAAAACTTAGTATAGAGTACCACAACGACCAAAATGATCTGGTGCCCAATCATAAAAAAGCAATGCAGGCATGTAGACAAACATAACCTCTCACATGTTCATCTCGAAGGAGGGCAGACGGAGGACGAGCAAGAAACAAGATTGTGGAGACCATGGATCAACATAACCACGAAGCATTAAAGGAATTGGGTGAAAAAACAGTAGCTAGGTGTTGCTTTGTTCTATTTTAGAGGATATGTGTGGTGTTCTTTCTCTCAGTTTTTCTGGAATTGAACTTTCTCGAATTAGAGTGATACTTCGCTGATTCTGTGAATTATATTATGTGAGACAGTGAGAGTGGAGTTTCTCTTCCTCACGGGAAGAAGGTTTTATGGCTTATGATGTCTGGATTTTTAATTTACTTCTTTCAAACTTCGGGTTGGATTTTTTGAAATTGCAAAGAAACTCTTTGGAAATCTCAAGCCTTGAATTCAATCCTCTTATAGGCATGCTTTTCTAAGCCGATAATAATACTACTACATAGAATCCTTTGAGCTTCAACACAAGCATTGTTTTTCTTCTCAATGTGATAAATATGATGAATCTTGCAGGGCGCTTATAATTTGGGCGACATTATTTTTCTTATCTACATGCTCGAGTTATGGCTTCAGAGTTTGAAACAATCAAACAACAACAACAACAACCCAGTTAAATCCCACAAGAGTAGGGTCTGGGGAGGGTGTGTGTACGCAGACCTTACCCCTACTCGAAAGTAGAGAGGCTGTTTCCAAAGAGACCCCCGGCTCGACGTCGAAAGTTGCATTGCTTGACTAACTGCTACTTCATTAATTAAAGAAGCGCAAATAGTTTAGAGATCCATTTTGATTTATTCCATCACACCCAAAGCCAAAAAATAGTGAAATTTTGGCTCCATCGGAGATGATGGAAAGGTTAAAATCTTTTCAAGGCCAGCTTCAGTCAGAGTTTGGCATTCTTGATCGAATTGTCTATAAAAACAAGAATCAGCACAGAAGATGCTCATACTTTCAGCACCTCTCAAAGGTGAGAAGAGACTTGAGGCTTCTGAAATCAGCGAATCTGGATGAGATACTCACTTCCTCCTTTGACATTATCCATGGAAAGAGGCCCAAGCAAAAGCTTCACCTCCTGGAAAGTATGAAGAGAAGAAGAACAGATGGCAAGAAGCAAACCTTCTTAGACCGGCTCCTCGGCACAGCTCATCTATTGTCACAAATGGTTGAACCAATGCTGAAGGCAGCAACACAGGTATCGGTTCTTCTCGCCCAATCATTCTTCATGGGGTTTTCATTAACTGTCTTGGCCTTGCTGGCTCGAATCAGAGTCCTCGTTCAACAAATGCTTCTAGATGTTGTTTGTGTGTTTAATTGTGTGTCATCCATGTCTCCAAAGAAGCAATCTGTTAAACTGAACACCGAAGGATTTGAGGTTTTTAAAGAATATTATCCTGCCAAGGGGCACACTATTTCCCTAGAATGTGTATGGGAAACAGATAAGTACAAGTTAGTTGAGCGAAAAGGTGAAAGCAAAGATGAAATGAAAGAAGACGAATGCATGAAACCGCCGAAAATCCAGTACCAAAGCATTGAGATGTTTCTAGGAGATGATGAAGTTTCTGTAGATGGATCGTCCATGTTGAAGAACAAAGAGGATACGAATTCTTTGTCGCAAATTCTCAATGATGATGTGGCATCTCCCGGGAAGAGTAAAGTCTCTCCAGAAAGTGGATTGTCATTCCAATTGAGGCATAAATCTGAAGCGAAGCGGAGTGTTGCATTTGTGCCTGTAAAGAGGCCTTCTCCATCTTCTTCATTGCCTGCATCTGCGAATGAACCAGGGCTTTCATTTCAAGTAATGCAAAATGGTGATCGTTTAACTAGAGAAGAAGAAGAAGATCCTTTTTTCAGTTTACTCACTGGAGGAAACAAGAACAGTGCTTTGTTCTAATCATCATCCGCATCAGAACCTAGCAAATTCGTGGCGTGTTTATAGGATTATTGTTTGGTTTATCTGTCCAAAAAAGGAACTGATGTTGAAAATTGCAGATGAATATCTGTTTTGTCCGTATATTCACCAGAGGTAAGAACAGAGTTACATTTTTATTAATCTTTTGGTTAAAAGATTACTCTATGAGAGACTATGGGTTGACTTACAATGTTGAGAGTATATAGTTAAAATTTAGATTATAACTTAGATACGATGATTTAATTTGTTTTTATTTGACTCAATACACTGTAAGAACATGGTTCCATCGGTTCCTCAAAAACAAATTTTCATGCAACGAATAATGAACACGCACCTTTTCTTTGTTGCATTTTGGTCATCTCTTAATGCAAGTATTCTCTTCTGAAATTTAATGCAACATAAAAAATGATTGAATTCAACAAAATTTATGAAAAGTGTTGAAAAGTAAAAATGTTATCGTTTGAATGTATATGTAGAAGATAAATTAAAGAATGGTCGTGAGTTCATTCATGTTTTTAAAACGTAACAACTCAATTTGGTTCTCCGAGTTTATGATTTTTTTATTAAATCATAAATTTGAAATATTTCACAAACAGGTAAACAACTTATATGAGAGTAGAAAAATGCACATTTTGAAACCAATCCATGGGTTAGTTGCATAAAAATTGTGAAAAATAAATTAAAATATTCAACCACTATAGGACTTTCATCAACTAGAGTGGGGCCTTACGGCGGGGTTGGGGTGGGGGTGCAGGGGCAAGTAGGATGGGGGGTTTAGGGGGTGGGTTAGGGGGGGTAGGAATCGTCAATTTTACGAACGGAGCAACGAAAGTGCTCCAAAATGACAGTGGCATCAGGGTGTCACCGTACTCGGTGGATTCGTTTAAACAATATTTAAAAAGACACGCTAGATTTTTAATATTCCCTCTCTATCTTGGTTTTTGTCCCATTTGAAATGGACACAATTACCAAGATAAGGAGGGATAGGGGACAATTTGACTAGATTGCCCTTACATTATTACTTTTGGGGGTGGGTGAATTATGAGGGCAAAAAAGCAAAGAAAAAAACAATTTTTCTTTCCACACCACAAATTATTCTTTACACCCATCAAATCAATGCTTTTTACCTATCTACTCCCTCCGTTCTTAAAAATCGTACTCTTCCTCTTTCATTTTTTTATTTCCAACAAAACACTTCCACTTTCTATTAAAAAACCACTTTTACCCTTATTTTTTTATACCCTACCTATCACATAATACTTTTTCTCTAATACTCAATCCATCACATCTTACTTTTACCTATCACATCAAGGGCAAAATTGGAAATCAACTACAATTTAATACTTCCTTATTTTTACACAAAGTCAAAATATGAACACTTTTATAGAACGGAGGGAGTATTGTTTTTCTTCTTGGGTAGGGAGAAAATGGCGTAAGGTATTTGATTTTGAAAGGTAAATTTGGATATGTGTTTACCTTTTATTGCCATAACAGGAAAGTGAACAAATATTGAGGGAGAGTCGAAAATGGAATACTGGACAATATTGAGGGACGAAGAGAGTATAAGGGTTCTGTAAAGTGTTCATAGGTAAAATTGAATTGATACTATTTTTCTACCATGTAAAGTTCACGCGATGAATATTTATATGTTGCGTAAACATGAGATTTGTATCAGTTGTACACGTTTAGACAATATATATCATATTTATTTGTTGTATGAAGTGTATTTTTAAATAGTAATAATTACGTATTAACACTCAAAATTTTTACTTACAAGATTATTTTTTACTACACAAACAAAAAACTAATTAGTCGCTAATCTAATCAAACAATATTTTCGCACTTCTAGTTGTATTTTAAGGTGTACATTCCGTGTAGTGTTGTGTCACTCTTTTATTGTTACAAGGAGACGGTCATTTCATTTGCATGCAACACTAATTAGTTCGATGACAACCAACGTAACCCCTTTCCCATGGAGCACGAAATTACGATTGCATGGAGAAATATTTCCTATTTATATGGCTAAAATAATTAAATTTATTACAAAGAGCAATTCCTGTTAACAATAATAATTCTGATTAATTACCAGCCGGTATAGTATGCCTATTACTGCATTAATAATACTCTCAAAATGGATCCTTATATTTTGGATCGTGTTTCTACGTGCACTTTGGGAAGCATTTGAAAAGATAATATTCACTGCAAAGAGGTTTGTACTTTTCCCTTTCAGACTTGTACTCTGGCCCGTTGAGCTCTCCAGAAGATCATGGAAGACATTACAGTGATCAGGTGCGGCAACTGGTCCGCAGTCTCTTATCAAGTCCGGCGGAACACCAGATCATTATCTCACGGCAAGATATAAATAATTAAAGAAATTACTCATGTACACCACACCAGCAAAAATGTAATTTTCAAATGTTTTCATCTTCATTTAATAGCTATATACTTACACTGCATTATATTCGGAAATCACCCTAAATAGGACTAAAACATAGAGTTTATGTCCAAAATAGGACTTCTATGTTTTTATCCTGAAAATAGGACCAAACATTACAATTATACCTTTATTGCCCCTGCCCTCTGTTAACTCTGTTGCCCTCCATCTACTTTCTCTTGTTTTTCCATGATCGAGAGTTTTTTTTCTTGTTTTTGGTTTTGGTTTGTGTATTTTCTTTGTTTTGTTTTCTTCTGTGTTTTTTTTCGTCTCTTTTTTTTTGTTTTCTTTCTCTATCCTTTTTCTTTTCTTTTTCATTGTTGGAGTTTTTAACTTCCTCTATATTTCATTTTTCCTTGTGCAACCCATTTATTCTTTTGTGTTTAGTCACTTAATGCTAAAAGAAATAAAATATAGAGAAAATGCTATAATAGGAGTTCCATGTTTTTATTCCCTAAATATGAGTTCGCATTGTGGTAATATGACACTCTACATAGGCATTTATTGTAATGTATATGGTCATGCTTGGTAATGTAAACGTATTTTAATTCAAATTTCGGTAATAAAAACATGAAAATTCTATTTTATTATATTTTCATTTTTTTACTCTTTTTTTAGAGAAAGTACTAACGTAGGAACTCCATGTTTTTATTTACAAAATAAGAGTTTGTACTGTGGTAATGTGACATGTGTACATGTGGACATGTGAACATGTGGACATGTGGTTCAAGTATTTGTGGTCTTGTGGACATGTAGCGCGACCATTGAGGAAAAAAATGGTTCTGTGTCACAAATGGCAAGGGGTATTTTGGGTATGACGACGCAAATTAAGTCCTATTTGGGGGATTTAAGTTTTAGAGTCCTATTTAAGTATATTTGATATGTTTTAGTCCTATTTAGGATTTTTTCCCCATTATATTCTATGCAGCCGTGCCTTTTCTTATCCTCTTGTTTCACCTTTTTCCTCGAATAATATAATGATTTAATTTCTATAGTCCATGCGAACAACACATTTCAATGGTGCCACAAATCTTAGGCTTTTTTTGTTGAAGGCACGCAACTTTGAGCCTTGTTACAAAAAGGTACCACGTGAGAGAAAAAAATCAGATCTGGAGTATATAAACAGAGTGTTTTATTGTGGAACTTCTATCTAGAACTATGTGTCCATACATATAAATAGAGGACTAAACAACTCAACCATTACAAATAGACACAACAGTTACTAACCAACACATCTGTTGGAAACTATCATAAAAGCTGCCTAATTGCATGTCTTTTTTTCTTATTTATTTTTTTAAATTTAAACTAAATTTTGGACTGGAATCAACCAACATTCACCCCCTTGATTCCAGTCCTCATTACTGCCAAGTCTTCAATGCCCATCAGTTGCCTCATCTCGATAAACTTGACTCTCGGTAATGCTTTAGTCAAGATATCAGCTCTTTGCTCATCACCACTTACATGCTCAATCCTTACTAGCTCTTTCTCGGCACATTCACGAATGAAATGATATCGAGTGTCAATATGCTTACTTCGCCCATGGAAACACTGAATTCTTCATTAACATGATTGCAACTTTGTTATCCACGTGAATTGTTATGGGTTCCATGCTTTGACCAATGATTTCTTCAAGCAAACCTTTTAACCAGACAGCTTGACATGCAGTTGCCGTTGCCGCCATGAACTCAGCCTCACATGAAGATAGTGCAACCGTATTCTGTTTTTGGCTACTCCAAACTATCGGACCACCCCCATAATAGAAAATCATCCCAGTTGTACTCTTTCCATCTGCCCGATCAGTGGCATGTGAGCTGTCATTATAACCAACCAAACTTGCATCGCCATTCCTCATGTACCGAATCCCGTAATTGATTGTACCCTTTAAATATCGCAGCACCTGTTTTACAGCTTGCATATGTGATGTTTTTGGTGACTCCATGAATCGACTCGTTATTCCAATTGCATAACTCATAGCTGGCCTTGTATGGGTTAGATATTGAAGACACCCAATAATCCTTCAGTACTCAGTTGCATCAACATACTCCAACTCCTCATCTTTTCTAAGCTTGAGACTTGGATCCATAGGAAATTTTGCAGGATTACACTCCCACAAATTTGCATTTTTTAGAACCTCTGTTGCATATCCTGTTTGCTTCAAAGTAATGCCAGTTTTGTCTTGATTCACCTCTATTCCCAAATAGTATGTTAGAAGCCCCAAATCACTCATTTCAAAATAGTTTTTCATTTGTCTTTTAAACCCAGCAATCTCATCCTTGCATGGGCCTGTGATGATTAGATAATCAACGTATACACCAACTATTAATGGTCCATTCTTTGTGTTTCGCTTGTACACAACATGTTCGCGTGGACAACACTTGAAACCAAGTTGTTGTAGAGTTGCATCTAGCTTTGAATTCCAGGCTCTTGGGGCTTGCTTCAGGCCATATAAAGCTTTTTTACCAGTTTGTTTACAAGACGTTCCTTTCCCGGCTTCTCGAACCCCTCAGGTTGTGATACATATACATCCTCCTTTAAGTCTCCATGAAGGAAAGCCGTCTCCACATTAAGATGGTGAACTTCCCAACAATCTCGTGCAGCTAGGGATAGAAGCAAACCGACTGTTTCCATTCGGGCAACTGGAGCAAACACCTCATCATTGTCAATACCATGTTTTTGGACATATCCCTTTGTAACAAGTCTCTCTTTGTAGCGAATTATCTTATCTTTAGCATTCCTTTTTGCTTTATAAACCCACTTCAGACCAATCGGTTTAACTCCTTTTGGGAGTTCAACCAATTTCCAGATTCCATTTTATTCAACAGAATCCAACTCGTCTTGCATTGCAGT